AGCCTCCTGCAGGCGGCCCCAGCCCAACTTCTGTTACCTCCAGGGAAAGGCTCATTTGTGCGCATCTGCCTTTGGGGTGACAAGCAGTGGGGTGAGGAGGGAAGGCGGGTGCAGGTCGGTGCCTACCCTCCCGGAATTCTCTCTCTGGCATCTCGGGTGTCTGGGCCTGAGCGCACCGACTTCCAAGTGCTCCCCTTCTTCCTCCTAGTCCCCCCAGACGTGTCTCCCTCTCGCGACTCACGCGTCTTCCCTTCCTCTGTCCCGCAGAGAACTCGGTGGCCGCCAAATCCGGCGGCTGCTTCCCAGGATCCGCCACCGTGCACCTAGAGCAGGGCGGCACCAAGCTGGTGAAGGATCTGAGCCCCGGGGACCGGGTGCTGGCGGCCGACGACCAGGGCCGGCTACTCTACAGCGACTTCCTCACCTTCCTGGACCGCGAGGACGGCGCCAAGAAGGTCTTCTACGTGATCGAGACCCGGGAGCCGCGGGAGCGCCTGCTGCTGACAGCCGCGCACTTGCTCTTCGTCGCGCCGCACAACGATTCGGCGGCCGCCGAGGAGCCGGAACCGCTGTCGAGCGCCTGGGACGCGCCGAGGCCGCCGCCAGGGGGCGCGTCGGGGCGCCGCGCGCTCTTCGCCAGCCACGTGCGGCCCGGCCAGCGCGTGTACGTCGTTGCGGAGCGCGACGGAGACCGCAAGCTGCTGCCCGCCGCCGTTCACAGCGTGACGCTGCGCGAGGAGGCCACCGGCGCGTACGCGCCACTCACGGCCCACGGCACCATCCTCATCAACCGGGTGCTGGCCTCGTGCTACGCCGTCATCGAGGAGCACAGCTGGGCGCACTGGGCCTTCGCGCCCTTCCGCCTGGCGCACGCGCTCCTGGCGGCCCTCGCGCCCGCTCGCACGGACAGCGGCTGCAGCCTGGCCCCGCCCGCGCCGGATGCGGCGGCCGCCACCCCCACGGGCATCCACTGGTACTCACAGCTGCTCTACCAAATAGGCACCTGGCTGCTGGACAGTGAGGCTCTGCACCCCCTCGGCATGGCCGTCAAGTCCAGCTGAAACCCCCCGGGG